ATATGTCAAAATTATAAGTTAAAATCATAAGTTGATTGAAATATATAACAAAATTAGATACACGTGAATACAAAAAAGCTAAAAAACACATAATGGTCTCACTTAATGAATAATTACTAAAAATCTAAGATATATATGTAGTAATAATAATCACAAGTGTGTGTTAAATAATAAATCATTAAGTATATTATACATATTAATCATTGCGTTGACCGTGTTTTACAACACTACTCAGTTCAGTAAGGGTCGATCGGGGAGTACTCGAGATTCTGTAACTCGTCTCGAAAAGGGGCCTAGTAGCGAGTACTCGGAGGAGTAATCGGCCAACTCTGCGAGTTTTACAACACTGATTGTGATGCATCCAATCTGGGCCTACGTTGTGTCCTCATGCAGCGAGGAAAGGTTATTGCTTATGCCTCGAGACAGCTAAAAGCACACGAAGTCAATTACACCACTCATTATCTTAAGTTAGGAGTAGTAGTGTTTGCTCTGAAGATCTGGAGACGTTACCTCTACAGTACCAAGTGCACTATCTTCACCGACCACAAAAGTCTTCATCACATCTTTGATCAGAAAGAACTTAACATGAGACAACGACGATGGGTAGAGCTACTCAATGATTACGAATGCAAAATTCACTATCATCCCGGTAAAGCCAATGTAGTAGCAGATGCCCTTAGTCGAAAGGAGTACTCAGGTCGTAGAGTGAAGGCACTAACCATGACCATTCATTTGCATCTGTCCACACAACTCAAGGAGGCTCAGTTGGAAGACTTAAAGCCCGGAAATGTGGCGGATGAAGCCTTAAGAGTGATGGAGAAAAACTTGGAAATCAAGGATGACGGTGTTCGTTACTTCATGAATCGGATTTGGAAACTGAAGTTTGGTGGATTCCGAGAGGTCGTTATGAATGAACACCAACTCCCAAACTGCACCGCCACAGGACAACGAATCAGGATATGTGTCGTGTCTTCATCCTCCTGTAAACATTGAGAACACTTAGCTTCAACCCCTGACACTCCTCTTCTTATCAGCGCCTTGTTGGATGGAATTCGACCAAGATTGGCTCTCCAAATGAAAGTTGAGACCTAGATTGGAATATCGTGTATCCATGGAATAATCACATCGTTACTCGCCGGTTCCATATTATCCAATTTTGATCTAAGAGCGTCTACGTGATAGTCTCCATCATTCGATATGGCACACTTCCAATTATCCATCCCGGATGTCAGGCGGAAATCACCTATGACAGTTAAGAGCATTTGCAAACTTTGTATCTGTTCATCGGTTGTTAAGGGCGATCTCCACTTCCACATTGGACCTGCCTCCTGAATCCTCTCCTTAATTGTACATGACTTTCGTCTCTCCATTTGGAACAGTTATAGGAATCTATTTTTTAGAGGTTCCTTATCACACCATGCATCCATCCAAAAGAGAGTGTCATCACCTTCTTTAACCTGTTTTTTTTAAATATCCCGAAAATTGATTCCCGCCTTTTCTAATTCCCGTATTACCCCTACTATATTGTTCCATACACCGGGGATGGTTTTCTTTGAAAGTCTCTCTGTAGGTTTACCGTTTAAATTGTGAATACCCACAACTACTCTTCGCCACAGTGCTGATGTGTTAGTCTTCAAATCCCACCACCATTTAACTATTAATGCAAGGTTAAAGGCTCGAAGGGAACCTAATCCCAAACCTCCTTTCTTCTTCGGTGCAACGACTTTATCCCATGAAACCCATGATATTTTATGCTTGTTATCACCTCCACCCCAAAGAAATTGTCTACGGATTTTTTCAAGTATTTCTATGACTCCCATTGGAGCTACAAAGATTGACATGTAATATGATGGAAGGCTGCCGAGAACAGCCTTAGCCAAGGTTAATCTACCTCCAAATGAGAGTGCTTTTGCTTTCCATGGAGAAAGTTTGGTATAGAATATGTCAATTATGGGTCTCCAATGCTTTTTTAACTTCATATTTGCACCTACCGGTACCCCAAGATACGTGAAGGACAATGAGGCAGGTTCACATCCTAATGGTGCAGCCCATCGAGTGACTTCCTGCATATCAACTCCAATACCAAACACCCTTGACTTAGTAAAGTTGACTTTTAATCCCGATGCCACTTGAAAACATCTCAACACTCTTGCTAGGTTTTTTATATTATCTTGATTCCACTCACCCACAAATAGGGCGTCATCGACATAAAACAAATGTGAGATGGTTGTTTCCGAGTGTGGAACTTTGATTCCTTGAAAAATCTCCTCCTGACAAGCCACCCTCATAGCAATATTAAGACCTTCCGTTGCTATTATAAAAAGGAACGGTGATAATGGATCACCCTGCTTCACACCTCTTTTCATTTCAAATTCTTTCGTTGGAGAGCCACTAATGAGGACCGATAATCTAGTTGAGTGAAGACATCCTCTAATCCACATTTGCCACTTATCTCCATACCCCATTTGAATAATAATCGATTCAAGATATTCCCAATTTACGGGGTCGAAGGCTTTCTCAAAGTCTACTTTTAACAATAGCACTTGTTTTTTGACTTTTTTTTCCCACGCGTATAGTTCATTAACTATTAGTGGTCCATCTAAGATATTCCTTCCCTCCTCATACGCTGATTGGGCTTCTCCGATGTTCTGATCTATTACCCCTTTGAGCCGGTTAGCTAAAACTTTTGAAATTATCTTATATAGACATCCAATTAGGCTGATTGGTCTCTAATCCCGAAGATGTAATGGATCTTTGATCTTTGGGATGAGGGTGATAAAGGACGAATTGCATCCCCGTTCCAATCTCCCGTATCTCTCAAAGTGTTTTATGTAATTCATCGTTGTGTAATATACCCCAGTACTTTTTAATGAAACCAAATGTGAACCCATCCGGTCCGGGTGCCTTATCTCCATCGCAAGCCCAAACAGCCCTTTTGACTTCATCGGTTATGAACGGTTCTTCTATTGCATAACTAGCACTCGGAGTAAGCCTACTAAAACTGTTGCTAATAATTTTTGCCTTGATGGCCATCGCTCTTGGAATTTCCCCTGGAAGAAATTGAACGCCTCAAGTTTAATTGCATCTGCCTCCGTGGTCCATGATCCGTCAATAATCAGACCATGTATGCGATTTTTTTACCTCCTGTTATTGACATAGTCATGAAAGAACCGAGAATTCTCATCTCCATCAACAACCCACCTTATTCTGGACCGTTGTTTTAGATCCATCAACGTTGGTTTCTTGAGTTCTGCAATTCTTTGGAATCCACGAGTTATTTCATTAATTTCAGCACTTGAGAGAATGTGATTTTCAGCCTCGATGTCCAGTTTGTGTGTCCTCTCTTTGAGTTCCCTCAATTCCTTCATCTCTCTTGGATGATCATTTGCTCTCCGAATTTTTATTTCCTTTTTCAGAAACCTTATCTTTGCAGCCACGTACGCATTTGGGTACCATATCCTCTGAATTTCTCCCATGATTCCCGAATTGTTTGCTCACAACCTTCACGTTTCATCCAGGAATTAAAGAACCGGAACGGCGCTTTACCAAAGTCAACATCGACAGTATGAAGGCTGATACGGCAATGATCTGACAGCTCCCTTGGTAAAGCGATGGCTGATGCATTAGGAAAAAGATTTAAGAAGTTGTTTGAAACTAGGAACCGATCTAGTTTGCTCATCTTGACATCGGTCCAACAGCAAAAGGTGTATCTACATCCCCCCATTCTAAGATCATGTAAATATTCCAGTTTTATAAATCGGTTGAACCAAAAATCTTCAGATTGGTCGAATTGGGAGTTATATCTTTCGCATTCTCTTCTTACAGCGTTGAAGTCCCCAAAAATTACCCAAGCACCCTTTTTCATTGCTCTAATCTGTCTTATCTCCTCCCATAGCTTCTTCTTTTCTTGCGAATTGTGAGGACCGTATATGTTTGCAAATACCATTTGACCTTGAATTCCAGAGCACCTACCAATAGTAATTAAAAAATGTCTTGCTTTAATTATTTCATCTACCTGGTAAAAGTTAGAATCCCAAATGCTGAGTAGCCCCCCAGATCTCCCAGTAGATGGAGTTGCTACATGCCCAAAATCTTTGTTACCACAACAGCCTCTAGCATTGATTTTGCTTGTATCTGTCAATTGAGTTTCCTGTATCCCCAAATACATTGTATGATATTTAGTTGTTAATCGCCTTACCCATGCAATCTTATAATCTTCGCATATACCCCTTATGTTCAAGATTAGAAAAATCATTGGGGGATGTTTTTCTCTCCGGTAACGCCCATTACTTCCATTAATATCGGGTTTCCTGATTCAATTTCGAAACCTACTTCCTTGCCAACATCTGCTGTTCTGTCCATTTCAAGAGAATAGGAGCTCTGGACACTGCTGGTGGGACAGTTGGAGGCAGCCTCAGGTTTTCTGTTAAGTTCAGTTGTGCTAGGGGTGATGACAATTTATGTCGTATTCGTTTGTTGGTGCAATTGAGATAATTCCTTCGTGAGGTCTGGTTCCGAGAGACTTGCCATCAGAGTGATTGAGTTGAGGGGAAATGTCGTCCTCGAATTATCGTACCACTTTCTTTTACCCAGTGATCCAATAATAGTATTGGTTTGGGTTGGGGTAATAGGGAGTCCATCACCATTGAATGACGACAGAAAAGGCCCAAAGCATCCTTGGGGTAATTCATTTATCATAACCTTGTGGATCGGGGCAATGGGTTCGGGTACTGGTTGGGTGGATCCGTCAATCTCAACACGAAACTGGGGGAGAGAAAACTTACCATTTTCAATTACTGTTTTAGGCTTCCAAGGGGTCGATTCAGCCGCCTCCTCAAAATTACCGTTTCCTGTTGCATCTTCCTAAAAGACTCTTGTACTTCCCTTGACTGCACCCTCTCCTCACGGTTTGAGCTCATCGGCGATGACCCATCCACCTGAATCGATTCTCTGACGACCATCGTATCATCCACACTATTTCCATCTTCATCTTGCCGTATTTATCCTTCCCCTTTTTCACTCTCTACATCATGTATCCATGTATCAGAAATTCCTTCGTCTTCATCATCTTCTTCATCGTACTCCCCGACTTCATCGTCACCTTTTTCATAGTAATCTTCAGAGGGGTCAAACTTGAAGGGGAACCAATCCTCGTCAAATTCAATGATGCCCAGCTTTATGAGTTCTCCTTCAAAGGCTACGAATATCTCATCATTAATCCCCGTCCTTCAATCCGTAAGTATTCCAATTTTAGCGCAAGAGAGATCCATCTGGTGTGGAATATCTTCATATGGTGCAATAGTGACCCCATATCCTTTTGTGATTGTTGCAAAGTTGTTCCCCCCCCCCCCCAGAGATGTATGGGAAGCCCCATAATTCTGATCCACGCCACCCTGTCAAAGCCGGATTGTATCTTGTCTCCCCATTCAACCCACTTCAGATATTCTTCCCATCTATTTTTATTATCTTTAAACATTTTAGCAGTAATCGAATCATTAAAGAGCAATAATACTTTGAGTCGACATGGCTTGGAAGAACCAAAATTTTACAGTTCCCTAAAAATTTGTAAGTCGGAAACTGGGAATTCGTAACCCTGGTTTTTTTAAAGAAACTACATCAATACATAGACGAGTTAAAACATTTAATCATCATGCCTGATTGGAAAAATCTCATTGACCTAGTGGCAGTGGAGGCTCGAAATTGGATAACAAATTGGTACGGAATTCCTGATAACATGTTCGAGAATGTTATCGAATTCCTCAATTTTGCAGCAACATGGGGTAACTCCCATGAAAGAGAGAAAGAATCATAGTGGTGTTATATGGGCTTTTTTGGTTCATATTGTTGGTCAGGAATAACAAATTGCTCAAGGAGATTCACACTAACCTTGCAAGGATTGCCGATGATGTGATTTACCAAAGTTACTCTTGGTTCAAGTTCAGATCATCAAACGTCTAGTGTAGGTGGATAGACCAGAGTATCACCCATTTATGTTAATATATTTTCTTTTCCTATTACTATTACGTTGGATTGTGGTTGTTAGTATTAGTCTTAGCATTACCCGTCAATGACATATCTAATTGTTGGTTTTGTTTAGCTAATTGGTGTTGAGGCTAGGTAGTTGTGCTGAGGATTTGAAGTTATTGAACTTTAATTAATTCCTTAGATCCTTTCGGTTATTTTTATCCTTAAATGTTTCTAATTTATTTCTCTCTCATTTTATGAAACTTTATGTTTCATTTTTCCCATGATGTATATATTTATTATCTTCTTTGTTGCCTAAATGTATATGTTTTTATTATTTATTACGCCATACAAACATTAGGTTGCTACTACATGTGATACAAATATGTTTTGTTGACCATTTTACCCCTAAATTGTCTGCTGCAACTGTGTCTTGGTTGTTGTGAAATTTATTTCCTGAAAAGTCACGATAATGCATAATCAATAAATACCCAACAAACACAATTTGAATAGTTATTTGCACCATCAAAGTACAATTTAAAATAGAAAGGGTAACCAAAAAAATTGAGCATATTTTTTTATTTATTTACATTCTTTATATAAAATGGTTAATAAATTAATCATTTCCAAATATTTGTTATTTTTATTAATCATAAACTGAGTAACTATTAAAAAATAGATCAATTTAATCGTTTCTATTTTATATTTATTTATCATCAACAAAGCTGACAACCTTGTATTAAATAAAAGAATCAAATATTTGTAGTTATCTTTGCTCGATTAGTAAATTTGTATGTGATAAATTTTCTTAATAACAAATTGAAATGCCAATTATTAAAGCCACTACCGATATCTACATTCCACTAAAACCTAACTCAAATCAAGAACACTCCCTCTCCCTCCTCAAATACTTTGGTCCTGTTTAATAGTTGTTGATTGAAAAGGTGCCGATTGAGAAAACTCTGTTTAAGTAATAAATTATGATTGAGTAAGAAAACATGTTGTTTGATTGTACATATGACTGAATGTGTTTATACATATTACTGAATGTGCTCACTGATGCAAAATGATCATTTTACTCTGGTGCTCTATATAGTGATTAATAATAATAATAACAATAATAATAATAATAATAATAATAATAATAATAATAATCATCAGTGTTACACATTATATAAAATGTTTTAGCAAATATAACACACAAAAAAACTTCTAGGTTAATGATAAGGATGTTGAGTTGTGAGTGCGAGGTCATCGGTTCGATTCCCATTATTGGAAAGCCTTTGCTGAGCTGCGAATTTTTATCCAAGGGCAAGGGTACTATTGGAAAGTCTTGCTTCCTTTATCAATCAACCATCTGTCAACTTCTTTCTCGGTCAGACCTTGCTTTCCGAGTCATACGCCCAATTTTTGTGTATCAAACACCTTCAACTGACCGAGTCAGCCAAAATGTATGATATGACTCGGTCAGACACATATCAAACAGGGCCTTTGATGTTAACACATGAAATTTTTTACATGTAATATAACTACAACACAAATAGGTATATATGTGTTTTTTTTATGTATTACGTATTTTTATGTATTTATGTATATTTTAAAAAAAATTTATATAGATGTTTATGTATTTTAAATGTATAACTGCATTTTTTTTTACATATTTATGTATTTTTTTACTTCAAGTCGTTTTCATCATTTCACCCAATTCGTATAACTTCTTCGAGTATGTGTAGATGTTTTTCCTACATACCCATATATTTTAAGTTTTTGCCATTAGCTTACCTTGAAATTAAACATCGAATGGGAAAAGCTTAAAATATATGAGTATGTAGTAAAATCATCTAGACATACTCGAAGAAGTTGTACGAATTAGATGACATGGTGAAGACAACTTGAAGTAAAAAAACACATAAATACGAAAAAATAATACGATTAAACATTTAAAATAAATAAAAATACATAAATATATATAAAAAAAACTAAAAAATACATAAATACACAAAAAATACATATAAATACATAATACATAAAAAAACACATAAAAACACACAACAAATATGTAAAATACTTAAAAAATACATATAAATTGTAACATTCATAAAATTTCAAGAAAATTTAAACTTTTCCAAACCAACCAAAATCATAATTGTTTACATTGTAGTTTTCAAAACATGTTCATCATCAGAGTTATTCCCAAAATCACAAAAACATAACATGAGGAGGTGCAAGAGAAAACCTTTGCCTTCCCACGATCATCTGAGGTACCTGAAACATAACCCAAAACTGTAAGCCCAACTCTTAGTGAGTTTCCCTAGAATACCACCACAACACATAATCATAGATATCATAGAAACAACATGCATACAGAACCTTCAGCATGTCTGGACCGCCGCATCGAGCCTTCAGCCTGTCTGGATCGTTCTCCGGGCCTTCGGTCTGACTGGTCCGCCTCACAGGGCTTCAGTCTATCCAGGGCTGCCCTGGGTATGTTGGTCTTCTGCACACAGCAGGACCGCCTCAACCCAACCATCCTTCACATATCCACATATAACATAATCAAACATAACTGGCACATACAGACAGTCATAAAAGTCTAACAGATCACTATAACATAACACATCCTATCTATCAGGATGCCAATCTAACAGATCACTATAGCATAGCAAGCATACAATAACTAGGATAATAATCCAAATGGCCGACCTTGGTGCCTTCGACCCGAGAGTATAGTGAGGACAACTCACCTCACACTGATGAATCGCACAGAAAACCTCCGGTTGTTGGCTCACTAAAATCACGAACTAACACAACAAATAAACATCCAATTAATAATTGGATTACCATCCCCGACTAACAACCCAAACTTAGAGTAAATGACCACTTTACCCTATCCATAATTGGACCAAGACCCAGACCGAATTCTTGATCCAAAAAGTCCAAAGTTATACAAGGCCCATCATTGGCCCAATTTTCCAAATTGGGCCCAAACTCCTTATTAGGCCTTATCCTAAGGTCTAACTCTTCACTTGGCCCAAAACACTCATATTCAGATAAACCAATATGGGCTCAAGCATTTGAGCCCAAAAGGTAGCCCAAAACTTGAAGCCCAAAGTCTGAAATCCAACAGAAGGCGTACGCGGGGCGTACTCCTTCGATACGCAGGGTGTACATAGAACCTCGCATTGACCCCCATCGGGGTGGCTGACCAAGTATGCGGGTCATACTCCTCCTTACGCGGGCCAAAGTCCCATTTCGTGCTTAATGGCTTAAGCACTTAAGCCCAAACTTCAAATCTATGGTCCAAATGCACCCTAGAGTCATAAAGTCTACAACTTTATGACTTTACACGTCCAAAAGTTCTTAATACAAGGTCTTAATCCATTAAGACCCTTCTACCAAATGCATGGGACACTTCTAGCCATTAGGGCCTCATTTTTAGTATTAAGGACCCCTCCAAGGGTCTTAAAGGACGACTCAAAACATCTAGAACATACCATGCTCAAGATAGAGCATTTGGGACCAAAAAGAAGCATAAAAAGAACCCAACAAGAGATTTATCAATTAAACCATAAAGGTATGAACTTTATACATTTAGATGATGGAGAAGGAAGCCAAACTCCCAGATCCAAACCTTGCTTCAAGTTTCCAAGCTTCTTGATGCACTTCATTTGCCTCTAAATCACCAAGAATACACTTTAGGGCTCTCACTCTCATACAAGGGGCTAGGGTTTTACAAGAACGACTGAAGGACTTGGAGGCTGAAAGGATAAGGGCAAATGGTCCATAAAGATGTTTAATTACTCCTCAAACTAAAAATTAGGTTTCACCTGGACAATAGTACGCCCAGCGTACTAGGGCGTGCCCTAATACGCTTAGCGTACTCATATGTACGCCCAACGTACTACTCCTGCTCCCAAAATTACCATTTTGCCACTAGGGCTCTATAGGGCTACATCTTTATAATCCAAGGACCCAAAATGAAATACTTAAAACCAAAGGAATGATTTGAAAGTACCTGAAAACCCGAGATGTTACATAAATACGTAAAACGATACGTTTATACATTTAAAATACATGAATATACATAAACATCATAAAAAAAAACTTTAAAAAATACATAAATACGTAATACATAAAAAACACATAAAAATACATAAAAAAATATAAATACTTAAAAATATATATAAATACGTAAAAATACGTTTAAAATACATAAACGCCTATATAAAAAATTTAAAAAACACATAAATTCGTAAATCCTCCGTAATAAATAAAGATCTTTTTGTCACATGTCACATTCTCATTTATTTTGCCACATGTAATTTTGTGGTTATTTTTAATTAATTTTTATTCCACATGTTATTTTATGGTTTTTTCATTTTATTAAATTGTAGATAGTATTTATATTCAATAATAAATGCATATCAATTTCATTGATGAACTTTGCTTCTAATTTCAAAATTACCAAATTAAAGATTCATTTATTTTCTTTATTTATTTATCTAAATTATT